ATATCTTGTACTCTAAATAAATGCTACGAAGATTACAATACATAAGGTATTAATCTCCTATTAGCTTGCTTTGCAACTGTTTAATTTTAATTTTTTTCTCTTTAAAATTAAAAAATACATAAATAGGGGCTGGGAAGATACCTCAGCAGTATAAGCACCTCTCTGGCAAGCACAAGGATCTGGGTTCACTCTCTGATATCATATGCCATGCCAGCCCTATGCCAAGCCAGCCACCGAAACTGGTCGTGGTGGTGCACACCTGTAATCCCATCCCTGGGGAGGCTAAGACAGGAGGATCACAAGTATAAACTTCATAGCAAGACCCTGTACCAAATAAATAAATAATTTTTTTTAAACTTTAAATACTTTTTTTTTCTTTTGGCAGTACTGGGATGCTCAGGACATTGCACTTGCCAGGCAAGTCTTATTCTACTGAGCTATTTTTCCCAGTGCCATAATACATAATTTTTTTTTTAAAGATACACCTTGGTTGATATTCACTGGGAATTTGATTAAGTAAAGTATCTTCAGCCACTGTGTTACATCCTTTGGCTTTCTACATCACCTGCTGTGAAATGATGAACTAAATTGCCTGCCATCTTACACAAATATTCAAATATAGTATTTTGCCTTTTAACTTTATGTGCTTATGGTTTTGTCTTAAGTAACTACTAAGAATACTAAATTCAATAAATATAATTAATAAATTTTAAAATAATAAAATATTTATTGAAAATATAGTATTTGTTAAATAAGAGCCAAGAAAGCCAGCCAAAGCTAGGCACAAGACTTGCTAATCAGCAAATGGGTTCATACTACTGCTCACATGTTTAAGATTTGTTGTTTTTTTAAACATGCCTATTGGTTTTCTGTGTACTTCTTGTTAGCAAAGTAAAATGTTGGGCCGGAGAGATGGCTCAGTAGAATAAACATTGCCTGACAAGTGCAAGGGCCTGAGTTCAATACCTAGTTCCCCCCAAAAAAAACAAAACAAAACAAAAAAATGTTTATTAAAAATAAAGTCAGGAGCTGGGGAGATGGCTCAGTAGAATAAGTGCTTGCCTGGCAAGCACAAAGGCCTGAATTCAATCCCCAGTTCCACCAAAAAAAAAAAAAAAAAAAGGTTTAAAAAAAAAATAAAGTCAATTGAGTTCTATAAAGATGTTTTCAGGTAAAAAGTTAGCTAGTTACTGGACACAACATTCTTTTATTACAGAGTACACAAAGAATACATGGATAAAATAATTTTGTTTCACAGACTAGATAAGATGAAATATGCAGAAATTGTAATTACCCACTAAAGTTATTTTTATGCATCCTTATTCCAGGTAGGTTATAAAAATGTTTCTAGCTTCAAATTTTAAATATCGTGATCTTAACAGATAACTATCACCTATCATTTCTAAAAGACATAATTCAATGACTCCCTAAAAACCAATTACTTAACTGTTTTTGTTGTTTTTTTTTTTTTAAGTAGTAGAGATTATAGAAGTTAGAGGCAACCTATATAGATCAAGAATCTAACATAGAATAGCCAACTGAATATTTTCTCTAGTTTGACAATGAATTTAAGATGTTGGAATACTTTATCCAAAACAAGTACATGAGCATTCTCCTATACTGATATACTGTATAAAGTTCTTTTGGTCACAAACACTAAACATACATATACTCGCAGAGTGGTACATACATAATCATCACAGGAAGGAATCATGAAAGCAGGAAAAGGTGGAAAGGACATCAGGCAATGTGCATTTTGGTACATTATACCTCAGGCTATGAGCCAGGACCTTCTATACATTCTCATTTAAATTCTAATAACACTATGGGGCAAATGGTATAACTTGCATTTTACAGAGGCAAATTTTCTACTAGTTTGTCAGTAGTGGAGCTAGTATCTCAATCAAAACCTAATTACAAAACTCAAATCGCATTCCTTTATAAGGACTTACAAATCAACATGACATGTTAAAGAATGGGGGGGGACAACTAGACACAGTGAAACAGACATTTAGGATCTTCTCTTTTTAAAAATATTATATGGGGCTGGCCGGATAGCTCAGTAGACTAAAGTGCCTGCTCATGCAGACACAGCAGCTGGGGTTCGATCCCCAGCCTGCCTTGCGGGCTCTGCCCCAGGGGTGTCCTGAGAAGGTGAATGAGACTGGGCGTGGTGGTGCACACCAGTAATCCCAGCGCTTGGGAGGTTGAAAACAGGAGAATCACTATGAGTCTGATCTACGTAGTGAGACCCTGTAGACCCTGTACTAAATACATTTAAAAAACAAAAACCCTCACTGAAGAATTTTTTTGTCCTAGGTTATCTAGCTGAAAGACTGATATAATTTCTGTATCTACACTTCTTTTTACTACTAAAACATTAAGAAAGTAGACACCTCTCAATTTACTGAGAACACTTACAGATTTCCTTTCTCATCTAGAGGAAAAAGCAATAGTGATCATTTTCAATCCAAAGAGTAGTATTCCAAACTCCCCTTCACTGATAAAACTCACGCAGGACTTTATATCATTTATATGTACTATATCTTTCAAAAAAAAATAAGGGCATGGTCTGATTGTAAGGCAAAATATTGTATTTCAAATCCAAATGCCCCCAGAACATCCACATCACTCTAACCCTAAATTCCTCTTGCCAGACTGAAAAGCAGCAAAGGGAGGGAAAAAGGGCTTTCCTCAACTGACAAACCAGGGTACTAAGTCCTCTGTGGTATGTATTTAGGAGACTAAATCAGAACACAATCTGAGATTAGACTATTTCAAACTTCAAAATCATCTTCTAATAAATATTTCCATAATTACTTAACCACCCTCAAATACCACTAGTAGTCAAACAATGAGTGACACTGTATTACATGAATATTAATAAAATTAGTATTAGCTACTACTATATTCTAAATGGAAAATACAAAGCTGTAATGAATCTTCTCTGGAAAATACAGCATCACAACTTTTTTTTAAAAATCATTCCCAATTATACCTGCAAAAGAAAAACCTGTCACATATGCCCACCGTGGAAATGTTGTTAAAAGCTCTATATGAAAGAAGTATTATCAAGCCATAACTCAGTCTACTAACAATTTAATTTTAACACCTTTGTCCAAACATGAAAAAGGTTTTAATTTCTTATATAACTACAAGGTGAATTAAATAGATAAGCAAATAATTATGTTTAGAGAGAGACAACACTACTACTTCACAAGCATTGACTCCTGCAGTATCTACTAAAAGCACTCTTCCAAGAAAATTATTCATGTAGCATCTACAAACAAACCACTACTTTTGGCTGGTTAGAGGACTTACAACATTTTCTCAACTTTTGCAACAATGTTCACTGAGAATTAAAGACGAGTCTAGCGTCAATGAATGCATCAGCATCTACAACAAACACTAATCTTACTGTTTTATGCGGCACAGACGTGTCTATAAACATTACATTTGTATAAACATTACATCTAATATAAACTCTAACTTGGCATTTGCTTTCATGAAAACACTCTTTCCCTAATAGTTGCCATTTGCAGAAAAAGAAAGACTAAAGGCAGAGCTCTCCAAAACACACAAAAACAAAACAAAAATGCACATACAAAAGTCATAATAGCACAATACTGTTACTTTTACATTTCCTAAATCCACATTAAGAGAAACGTCATTTTTGTATGTTAGAAAAACTATTTTGTTTACCTTTTCCACAGACTTCACGTTCTGCCAAGGTAACACAGATTTTAAAACTGACAACTAGTGTACTTAGCAGTTGCCAAAACAACACAGCTGGATTCTTAAAGGGAAAGTACTCTTGTGTAACATACCCCTAATTACGGCTTTCAGCAACCTTATCTTTGTATAGTAATGGATGACACAAGACACAAGGGAAACATGCCGTGCTAAAAACTTGAAAAACATTAGACAATATCTCCTTTAAAATGCACATACTATTGTTAAATACCTCACAGCAGGCCTTTCGAATAGCAGTTATTGAAATCCCAGTTGCATTGTGCGCTAAAATGAAGGTTAACACTATGTTGTATTCAATATACACGCGCTTCCCTCCTGGATCATGACAGGGGACTCGCTTCACCGCTCCGGAAAGCTGTTTCAGGTCTGAGTAACAATTTCATAGTTGCACTTTCAAGGGGGAAACATTCGCTTGCACACACGTTCACCTTTCCAAAACTTGTCTGCCCTAGCACCAATTCTTAACCCTCGCTGTTCACAGATGACAATGAACCAAAAGGCAAAGTTTCTATCACCAGACACCTTCCCGGCGTGCTGGGCTCCACCTGGATGCAGGCGGCTAGCGGGTCCCTCTGCAGCCTCCGGGCCGGTTCGCGCGACGTCTCCGGCCGGCCGTGCACACCCGCAGGTGGCTCCAGACCCGGACGCCGCCCCGGATCCCGACCCCAACACCGACACCGCGGACACACGAGCAGACTTCGGACCTCTGGGTTCCGCCCCGTCCGAGCGACCTTCTCCCGAAGCAGAAGTGGGGAACTTCTCCAAGTCCGACGCCAGGGGAGAACGCCCCTACACTGGCGGTCCGGCCCTTCGGGGAGACCCCGGCCGCCAAGGGCCACGGGAAGGAGCCCAGAAAGCTCCGAAGCCCCCAGGGAACTCCTTCAACTTTCACGGAAGCCACGTCGACCGCCCCCCCACCCTCCGGCCCGGGCAGCCGCCCGCGACCGAACCTTCCCGGGTGGACTCCGAGGGCGCCCGTCAGGCCCCGGCCCCCGCCCCCACCTCTCCGGGCTCCTCGCCCCTCGCCACCAACCCGACCCGGCCCCTCTCGCCGCCTCCCCGTGGCGCACACGCCCGGCCGCCGCGCGCCCGCGACCCCGACCCCTTCCCGGCCGGACACGGCCTCGTCCCGGGGTCCCCGCGGGCGTCCCGCCGCCCCAGCACCGCCACGCCAGCCCCTCACCAAGACACCGCCCCCTCCAGCACGGCCGGCCCCGCGCCCAGAGCCCGCGGTCCGCGGCCCTCACCGCGTCTCCGGCGCAGCTGGCGGGCGCGCACACGCCGCAGCCCGGGCCCGCCACAGCACTCAGCGCCGCCGGAGCCGCCTCCTTCAGCCCGGGACTCGCCGGGACATCCGCGCACGGATCCCCACACCGGGGCTATTTTTAGGGACAGGCCTCGGCCGGACCGGAACTCGTTCTCGCGGCGCGCGTGCGCACTGCGTCTTCCGCGCCGTGTCCCTCCGCCAGCGCGGCTTTCCCTCCCTGCCCCTCGGCTCCTTCTGTCGCGTCTCCCTTGGGGGTTCCTTGTGAGGGGTGATTTCCCCCTTCGTGGGCCCTAGCGTGCTTGGAAAGAGAAAGACAAGGGTGCGGGCACAAAAGAATCTTACTGTGTGGGCGCGAGCGCTGCTCCGCAAGGACGTGAGGGCGGACTATGTTTTTCCGGGTGGGTGAGGAGACGGATCACCCGGCACAGGAAGGCGATGACGGCGGTTTGGCGCCCGGGCTTCGGGCTGCGGCGCGCTTCCTCCGGAGGGCCTTGCTCTCCTGGAGGGGATACCGGTCACTCGGTGCGGGGCGGCTGCAGGGGCGCGGCGCGTGGCCCGCACCCCCGCCTGCCCCGGGCTCGCGGGGTGGGGCCGCAGCTCCTGCCCGCCGCCGCCCGGAGTCCGGTGCCCCGCGGTGTCCTCGGGGTGACTCAGACGTCCCCGTGCCGCGCCCACGGGCAGAGCCGGCCGCGATCACACCGCACCTGTGCCCTCTGCGGGCCGGGCGCCTGCTCAGCCGACCTGGGCCGGCGCAGTCGCGCCCCAGCCCCGGGAGCGCGGCCTCCGGGACCCCAAGCCCAGATTGTAGGACTTGGACAGTCCCGGAAGGGTAGGGACACTTTGAAGTTGGCCAGCCAAGCTCATGTTTTAGAGGAGAAGCAACGTGCCGTTAATAATATCTAGTATGTTTTTAGCCCTAAGCTGTATGATAGACATTTTATTTTTCTGATGGACATTTAGCATCTCATCTAATCCTTACAGCCTCCCCACTGATGTAGACTTCAGTTTCTGTTCCCTATTTACAGCTGAGGAAAAGGAAGCCAAGAGTCAGCCACGGTCACCTGGCAGGGTCACGGAGCTTCCAGAGGAAGGCACTGGGGACTTGAACTCCTAATCACTCTGCGTATTGATTTTTTCTGAGAGAAGGATAATGATGGGCTTGGGACAGCTGTTATCTTGTGGAGTTGCTGATTTTGTCCAGAGTCTTTAGGAGGTGAACCTTGCTGGCCCCCTTGTCCTGAAAGCCACTCACCTCAGAAGTTTCTCCGGAAACAGCGCCTGTCTCTGCACCCAAAAGTGCCCGTACAGTGAACACAGAGGTGATGGTTATTTTCATTTGAAAGTGAAAAATTCAGTACTGTCCATAGCACTTTAAAACAAAGCAGATGTACAGAGGCAGTGGGCAGAAGAACTGGGAAGTTAACAAAGGAAGCTGGAGGCTAGCTGGCTTCCTTCATCAAGGAGGACTAGATGGTGCTGGGCAGGGCACAACACAAAGGAGGCACATGACAATGAAAATGAGCCCACAGGTCGGCTCAGAGCACCTCCCTTTGAGGGAGCTAGCAACAGGGATGGATGGGGAAATTTTAGAATTTGGTGTAAATCAGCAAGTCATGGAGAAATGTCTGCTTCTTAACCTGCCAGAGGCTGCAAAAACAGCTGGATTTAGACCTCTGCTCCAGGAAAATAGGAAGAGTGGGATGCTTTTGCTTCAAAGTCAAGGAACTGGGATGGGGGATAGTGAAGAACTATTCGCTCTTTTCCTCCTACCCTTCACCTTGTGAGAGTGATGAACCCAAAAAGGAGGTCGTACCCTCATTACTCGGTTCTGGTTCCTGCCTTTCAAGAAGCTGAGACTCCTGGAGCACAAGAGAGTCAGCCCAGATTGTCCACCCATCTTCTATTCCAGTGCTGTTGTTCACCCCAGAAGCCAGGCAAAAAACTTGGCTAGGAGTCCAGCCAAGGCAGAAATGGAGAGTGTTTGTCTGCCTTAGAGCTCCTCTCCTCCCCCACCTCTTGCATAACAAAGCCATTGTCTAAGAGTTTTCAGGGAGTAGTAAAGAGGAAGAGAGGGAGGAAGGAAAACAGGAAAGGAAAGAAGGAAGAAAAAAAGGAAGGGTAAATTGAACAGTTGTGGAGCCCAGCTGTTGTAAAATGCATTAACAGAGCACAGAATAGTTAAAACAACTAACTAGGGAGTCATCACAGGGTCTGTGCAGATTTCAAAAATCTGTATCTGAAGATTCCCTCCAAGCCAGGTTCACTTAGGAACCAGTAGTTGGCACTGAGTGGGACAGAGCAAGATGTCTTAGCTACTTTGCTCGTGTGTGTGTGTGTGTGTGTGTGTGTGTGTGTGTGTGTGTGTGCAGGGCCTCACTATGCAGCTCAGACTGCTAGAGATCCTGAGACAAAATACCCAACACTTAAAGGAGGCAGGGTCCAGGGTTTCCAGCAACTCCCGACACTGCTTGGTGTCAATCATTTGCCATTATATGTGGCATTGACTTGGAGGGAACGTCTAAGTAATAGTGCTGTCAGTCTTCCCACTTCATCTGACCCCTTAAGGCAACTAGATGCAAGGCCTGGGGTACAGAAGTAAAGCAGAGCAGCCCTTCTTCCTTCAAGGGTCTGGAGGGGGTTAGGGGATTTGTAGAGCTTTCAGCTTAAACACCAGCGTGACAATCCCCATGACAGGAGCTACATCAGGTAACAGAGAGCACAGACACTGAGTGTCTAAGGAAGAGAATCAGGGAAGGCTTTTTGCAACTCCCTAGGCAACAGGGGTTTCTTGCGACCTGAACAGTTTGTCCCTCACCTTTTCCCGTCACCTCACTGTCCCCATTCACAAACCTGAGAAGCTACTTTATGTACATCAACCCATTTCTCCCTGTCTGCAGGACAAACCCTTTTGTGTGTGTGCAGGGTCTTGTAGTGATCCTCCTGTTTTCAGCCTCCCCAGTGCTGGGACTACAGGAGCGTGCCACGATGCCCGGACTCAGTTCCCAGTTTAGTGCTCCTGGGGGTGGGGCTGGCACGACACATGGTGCCAGGGATGGAACCCCAGTCCCTGCACTTGCCTAAGCAGGCACTTAGTCCAGTGAGCTATCTCGCCAGCCCACAAACCCCTTTCTGTGCATCAAGTCTAGACATTACTTTCTGTAAGGGCCTTTCTGCAAGGTAGCATTTTGGTTAGGCATTTCTTCATACATGTCTCTTTCCTTCCTTTTAGAGAGTTAGTTCCTTAAATCAAAGAACTATGATTTACCTCTTAATATATTCACAGATCCTTGCATAGCATGCCATCAAATAAATGTTAACTACCTAGGAGCAGCCTGTAGGCAGAGGATGTGCTAGGCCCAGGGGCCTCTTGGGTGTGGCTCAAGGAGAATGCACAGCCAGCATCATGGCCCAGAGTCTGGATGGCGTGGGTAAAGTGGCAGGAAATGAGGCTACAAGAGCCATTGAGAGTGAAATGCAAAGCCTTTGCTGTTACCATTTCATGCAAGTCCATTTGCATTTTATTCTTAAACCAATGGGGAGCCTCTAACAGATATTAAGCTGGTGAATAGCTTGATCTCTTTGGCATTTTAGAAGGTTCACTTAGGAACCAGTAGTTGAGAGTGAGTGGGAGAGAGCAAGATGTCTTAGCTACTTGGCTCTTTGCTATGACAAAATACCTGACACTTAAAGGAGACAAGGTGTATTTAGCTCACAGTTTGTAGAACTTTCAGTCTGTAATTGGCTGGCTCGGAGGCAGGATGACACGGCCAACAGGTGCTCCTGAGGAGAAACAGTTCTTTGTGGGCAGAAGGTAACAAAGCAACAAGACAGAAGCCACACTTCTTTCTGTTCCTTATATTTTATCCATTCTGCTTAGCGTGGCAGCACTCACACCCTTAATCCTAGTGCCTTTGATCCTAGCATCGCACCATGAATCAATCCCAGCATCACATACCTCTGAAAACGCCCCACCTATGACTGAATGAAATCTAGACTCAAACCACAGCACAGACAAGAACTATCACAAGTTGGAAAAGACCAGAGAGACCTAACAACTAAATGCAAAATGGGCCCCTGGATTACATTCTAGTATAAGAAGGACACATAAGAGAGAGAGCTCATGAAATTTGAGCTTATAGTTCAAATTATATAATATGGTGGTGTTACATCAATGTTAAGTTCCTGGTTATGATAATTGTGTTATCCTTATGTAAAATGAAAATATTCAGGGAAAAACTCCATGAATTCTGTGTACCATATGTGAAACTTGTAGTTAAGTTTGAAATTGTATCAGCATAAAAACAATTTTTACATTGATATGATAAAATATTTTTATTGATTAAGTTTATTGATACAATTTAGATATGTATAATAATCACATTCATCAGAGGGAGCTACTACCTGTACATAGTAGTCTTAGTTCCTTTTTTTTTATCTTCTACCTCCTGCTGTCCCCTGAACCCTTTCCGCCTCCATATTTACAAAACTTTGTTTCCATTTTATCCTTTCCTCATTTTTCTTTTCCTTCCCCATCCCCATTCCCCTTTCCTCTTAAAACGTTTCTTCCTATTTCACAATATCTATTATATATTTTTGTTCTTGTCTACATTCTCAGTTGCTCACACCAGAGACCATGTAATGTTTACATGTGTGTCTGATTTAGTTCACTTAAGAGTATGGTCTCAAGCTGCATCCATTTAGATATAAATTTCTCAAGTTTATCCTTCTTTACGACTGAGTAGTAATCCATTGTATTAAAAGATCCTCTTTATCCATTCCATGGTTGATAGGCATTTGGATTGTTTCTGAGATTTAGCTATTACAAACTATACTGCTCTAAACATGGGTGCATATATGTCACTATGGTATGATGTTTTTAGTTCTTTCAGGAAGATACCTAGAAGAATAGCTGGGTTGAATGGAACTTCTAGTCCTAGTTTTTATGGAATCTCCACACTGATTTCCACAGTGGTTGTACCAGGCTACACTCCCACCAACAGTGAAAAGGGTTCCCTTTTCCCCAGAGACTTCCCAGAATTTGTCATTGATTTATTGATGATAGCCATTCTTTCTGGAATGCGATGGAATCTCAGTGTTGTCTTACCTTTCATCTCTTGAGTAACCAGTGAT